TACTCTATATAGTAAAAGGGTAATATGCCTCCAACCGGGATCAGCGGAGTCGCGAGGACTCCCAGCACTGGGATCAGCGTGACAGGGGGCAGCGCCCAAACCCCCTGATCGCCCTGCGGCTCTGTGTGTGACAGGGGGTGGGGCCACAATCTCCCTATCTGCCCTGCTCTGTTCCTGACAGGGAAGGCGCCCCAACCCCCTGATCAGCCCTGCTCTGTGCCTGATAGGGGGGAGCTCCCCAACCCTCTGATCGCCCTGCGGCTCTGTGTGTGAGAGGCTACGGTGCCCCAACCCCCTGATCGGCCCTGCTGTGTGTGTGACAGGGGGCGGTGCCCCAACTCCCCTATCGGCTCGACTCTGTGAGTGACAGGGGGGAGCTCCTCAACCCCCTGATCGGCCTTGCTCTGTGCGTGACAGGGGGGAGCTCCCCAACCCCCTGAACGACCCTGCTCTGTGCATGACAGGGTATGGAGCCCCAACCCCCCTGATGGGCCCTGCTCTGTGAGTGACAGGGGGCAGCGCCCCAACCCCCTGATTGGCCCTGCTCTGTGCGTGACAGGGGGTGGCGCCGCAACCTCCCCATCAACCCTGCCTTGAGTGTGATAGGGGGCGGTGCCCCAACCCCCCAATCGGCCCTACCCTGAGCGTGACTGAGGGTGGCATCACAACCTCCCAATCCGCCCTGCTCTGTGCATGACAGGGGGCGGCGCCCCAACTACCCAATCGGCCCTGCTCTGAGCCCGACCAGGGGCTGCACCTAGGGATTGGGCCTGCCCTCTGCCACCCGGGAGCAGGCCTAAGCCAGCAGGTCGTTATCTCCCGAGGGGTCCCAGACTGCGAGAGGGCACAGGCCGGGCTGAGGGGACCACCCCCCCCCCGAGTGCACAAATTTTTGTGCACCGGGCCTCTAGTTAAAAATAAAAAGAAGTGGGGAGATTGACAGCATCAGTAAAGCAGCCTGGTTCATAGAGATCTACTAGAGCAGCAGCTCTCAACCTGTGGGTCGCAACCCCTTTGGGGGTCGAACGACCCTTTCACAGGGGTCACCTACGACCATCAGAAAACACATATAGAGAAACCAACATGGCGGCATAGGTTAACGCTGGAGATTGCTGCCTCGAACAACCAATCAAAAATACAGCTAAAAGACGGAACGGACATCATCCGGAACCACAGGAAGGCTGGCTGAGTGGAAATTCTACAACTAGGAGGAAAGAGAATTTCATACCCAGACTCAGAGGAGGCGCAGTGCTGAAGTGAAATACTCAGGTGCAGAGTGCGCGCGGAGCGGGCTGGCGGCGGAGGGCGCGGTTGTTGTTTTCAATCGGGAGGGAGTTTCAGACTCTGAGCTCCAGATCCGGGCGAGTCTCTAGGGACCCAGACTCAAACGGGAGAAGCGGGACTGTCTGGCTTCAGTCGGAACTCGAAGGCAGCTTTCTCTCCGAGGTTTGCAGTGGTTGCTGGGACTTTGTGAGGCAGAGCCCTTAGGGACGGAACTGAGAGCAGCCATAACTGCTCGCTCTGACCGCCCTGTAGATCCCCGGGGACCCGCCCCGCACAAGCCCTGCGCAGAGCCATTTGCCCAATAGCCTCAGGCAAACGCTAGATTAGCACCGCCCTAGAGATCCAGCACAGAAGTTCTCCCACTGCAGATACAGCTGACTCTCACAGCCAGTTGGCCTGGAGGTCAAATCACCCCCAGTACTGCCAACAACAATCAAGGCTTAACTACAAGACTGCGCACAAAGACCACAAGGGGGTGCACCAAGAAAGCATAAAAAATGCGGAGACAAAGAAACATGACAGAAATGGAGGATATAGAGCTAAAAACCGCAATTTTAAGGTCTTTCAATAATTTTCTAGAAACTGCCGATAAATGTAGCGAGATCCTCAAGAAATCTAATGAGACCCTCGATGTTGTGATAAAGAACCAACTAGAAATTAAGCATACACTGACTGAAATAAAGAATATTATACAGACACCCAAAAGCAGACCAGAGGAGTGCAAGAATCAAGTCAAAGATTCGAAATGCGAGGAAGCAAAAAACACCCAACTGGAAAAGCAAAATGCAAAAAGGATCCGAAAATACGAAAATGGTGTAAGGAGCCTCTGGGATAGCTTCAAGTGTACCAACATCAGAATTATAGGGGTGCCAGAAGATGAGAGAGAGCAAGATATTGAAAACCTATTTGAAGAAATAATGACAGAAAACTTCCCCCACTTGGTGAAAGAAATAGACTTACAGGTCCAGGAAGCGCAGAGAACCCCAAACAAAAGGAATCCAAAGAGGACCACACCAAGACACATCATAATTAAAATGCCAAGAGCAAAAGACAAAGAGAGAATCTTAAAAGCAACAAGAGAAAGAAAGTCAGTTACCTACAAGGGAGTACCCATACGACTGTCAGCTGATTTCTCAACGGAAACTTTGCAGGCCAGAAGGGAATGGCAAGAAATATTCAAAGTGATGAATACCAAGAACCTACAACCAAGATTACTTTATCCAGCAAAGCTATCATTCAGAACGGAAGGTCAGATAAAGAGCTTCACAGATAAGGAAAAGCTAAAGGAGTTCATCACCACCAAACCAGTATTATATAAAATGCTAAAAGGTATCCTTTAAGAAGAGGAAGAAGGCCGAAACCGGTTTGGCTCAGTGGATAGAGCGTCGGCCTGCGGACTGAAGGGTCCCAGGTTCGATTCCGGTCAAGGGCATGTACCTGGGTTGCGGGCATATCCCCAGTGGGAGATGTGCAGGAGGCAGCTGATCGATGTTTCTCTCTCATCGATGTTTCTAACTCTCTATCTCTCTCCCTTCCTCTCTGTAAAAAATCAATAAAATATATTAAAAAGAAGAGGAAGAAGAAGAAAAAGGTAAAGATACAAATTATGAACAACAAACATGCATCTATCAACAAGTGAATCTAAGAATCAAGTGAACAAATAATCTGGTGATCATAATAGAATCAGGGACATAGAAAGGTAATGGACTGACTATTCTTGGGGGGGGAAAGGGGTGTGGGAGATGCGGGAACAGACTGGACAAAAATTGTGCACCTATGGATGAGGACAGTGGGTGGGGAGTGAGGCGGAGGGTGGGGCAGGAACTGGGAGGAGGGGAGTTATGGGGGGGGAGTTATGGGGGGAAAAAGAGGAACAAATGTAATAATCTGAACAATAAAGATTTAATTTAAAAAAAAAAAGAAAACACATATAATTACATATTGTTTTTTTGATTAATCACTATGCTTTAATTATGTTCAATTTGTAACAATGAAAATACATCCTGCATATCAGATATTTACATTACGATTCATAACAGTAGCAAAATTACAGTTATGAAGTAGCAACAAAAATCATTTTATGGTTGGGGGTCACCACAACATGAGGAACTGTATTAAAGGGTCGTAGCATTAGGAAGGTTGAGAACCACTGTACTAGAGAGTTTGGATGATCATAAGTCTGTGGAGAGTCAGTGAAGGGTTTTTTCAGAAGGGGAGTAAGATGCTTAAATGTGCATTTAAAAAAAAAGTCTAATGGCAAAGGAAAAATTAACAGGATGAAAGAGGAAAGGAAACACTGGAAACTAGGACTTGGGAGACTACAGTTAAATGAAAAATAATGACATCTTGAATTTAAGTTGATGGCAGAGGGAATAGAAACAGCTAGGGAGGGTGGGAGGAGGATCAGAGATATTTAGGAAGAGAAATAAGACTATGGCCAAATATAATAGAAATGGAGGAGTCAAGTATGACTTTCAAGTTTCTGGCTACAGTAATTAGAGAAATGCTGGTGCCCATGTATTAAGACAGTGGGAAAATGAGTTCAGGGTAAACATCTTGAGAACGAGGAGAAAATGCTAAATAGGCATTTAGAAATACAGCTTTGAATACCTGATTAAGTTAGGTTGTAGATATATTCTTTACTGTTCAGATGGTATTTGAAACTTTTGGTTTCATTAGATAAATGTGTACAGCAATGTAGGCTTGTTTACAACACACTTTTTTATGCCTTACCCTCACCTAATGACTTGGACTCTCTGGAATTAATCCTAGGAATCTCAGTTGGTTTCCCAGGAAATTCTTTTTTACTCTAAAATTTTACAGTCACTGGCTATAAAGTGAAAAAGAGTGTCAAGTACAGAACCCCAAGATTATATACCAAATTATTTATGGTAGTGATCAAAAGATAATAAAATACGGAGTTTTAAATTTTCTTCTGATCAAATGAGTATATAAAAAAAATTTGAAGTTAACAGTCTATTTTAGTATAGATTAAAGATTTATAGTTAAAATAGACAGGTAAGCCTCAAAATGGCTGGACTATAGTAGCCATTTACCTTTCTCTTTTTAAAAATTATTTCTAAATCAGAAAAAAATTGTCTTTGGGACCAAGTAAAATGTTAAATAACAAGTGTGCAATGAAAGGGTCCATATCTAGCTCAGCATGTGACAACTCCCAGAATGGCTATGCTAAGTGTCAAGCTGAGTACTTTTCCTAAGTAAAACGAGTAATTCCTTCAAAACAAACCTTAAGAGGGGATAGTATAGTCTTGTGTTGACTCTACAATTTTGCTTTGTGCATTTCATGGTGAGAAACAGCTTTTACATAAAATAAAGTGATAATACTAATAACACAACTGTCAAATATTTAATTAACAAGTAAAATGTTAAAACCAGGATTAGGACTATGGATTACAATGCTCAACTCTGCTCAAATCAGTCATATTTCTAAAATTAGACAACCTATACGTTGATTTAGTAGCTTGATTTTTAAATAGAAATTTCCTATTTCTCCTCTGTGATTTACAGCCAGTTTATACTTCAATACAAAATATTATGAAGATACTGAGTACTGTACAGTAACCACTGCCCAAAGAACAACTCAGGCTTGTATAACAAACTATTTTGTTCTGTATTAAATAAAATAGCCATCTTTTAACTCTGAAAAGCTTCAAAAGGCACCCATATGATTAGAAGCACGACATTTGTTTCATTACCATGAGCTCGAAGTAAAGCTTCAGCAGTAAACAGTGGAGCTTGGAGCATGTCTGCAGTTTCCACAATAAGCATATCCTTCAATCTACGAAGATCCTGAGGCCTTAATCCTTCATACGGCTTTGAAAAGAAGGAAAAAGAAGTTAAATTGTCTATTATACTCTTAGGAAGTTCAAAATGCCTATAAACAAATAAAAGATTATTATTTATTTCAGTTTCAGTTTGGTTATGTAAGTTCAAAAGGTTCTGTATGCTCCACCACTATTTCAAACTACTCTTTCCCAGGTCTTTTTAAACTGAAAAATGAATGCCAGGGCTTATGCACCTTATCATTTTAAAATAAAAGTATCATACTATAATGACAAGACCATTTTGAAAATGTGGATAATACAAAAAAGAATAAAAAAACACATCGAGCAATCATGATTAAAGTTCTCAAGTATTTTTATCCAGTTCTGTTGCAAATCAATTATAAATATAATAGAGGCCTGGTGCACAAAAATTTGTGCACTCAAGGGGGTCCCTCAGCCAATCCTGTGCCCTCTCACAGTTTGGGACACCTTGAGGGATGACCACTTACTGGTTTAGGCCCGCTTCCCAGGGGATCGGGCCTAAGCTGGCAGTCAGACATCACTCTGGCAGCCTGGGAGCCCTCAGGGGATGTCCACTTGCCAGCGGGGAGCAGACCTAAGCTGCAGTCGGACATCCTTAGCGCTGCTGAAGAGGCAGGAGAGGCTACCACCACCACCGCTGTACTGGCAACCATCAGCCTAGCTTGTGGCTGAGCAGAGCTCCCCCTGTGGGAGTGCACTGACCACCAGGGGGAAGCTCCTGCATTGAGTATCTGCCCCCTGGTGGTCAGTGTGTGTCATAGTGAGCAGTCATTCCCAGTCATTCTGCTGTTAGGGTCAGTTTGCATATTACCCTTTTATTATATAGGATAGAGGCCTGGTGCCTGGGTGGGGGCCGGCTGGTTTGCCCTGAAGGGTGTCCCAGATCAGGGTGGGGGTCCCGCTGGAGTGCCTGGCCAGCCTGGGTGAGGGTTGATGGGTGTTTGCAGGCTGGCCACACCCCCTTTAGGGTGGCGGTTCCCCACTGGGGTGCCTGGCCAGTCTGGGTGAGGGGCTGAGGGCCGTTTTCAGGCTAGCCAAGCCCCCCGGTGACAGAAGCTCCCAGCCTTTCCTTTTTTTCTTTTATTCTGGGATTTATTTACCTTCTATAATTGAAACTTTGTTGCCTTCTGTGGAGCTCAGAGCCGGCTCCTGCTCGCTCCAGCTCCGTGGCCACGGCCGGCTGAAAGCAGGTATCTGGGTTTATTTACCTTCTATAATTGAAACTTTGTTGCCTTCTGTGGAGCTCAGAGCCGGCTCCTGCTCGCTCCAGCTCCGTGGCCATGGCTGGCTGAAAGCAAGTATCTGGGTTTATTTACCTTCTATAATTGAAACTTTGTTGCTTTGAGTGGAGTTCAGAGCCGGACGGGAAGCTTGGCTTCCTCCATCACTGGAGCAACCAAGCCTCCTGCTCGCTTCAGCTCCGTGGCTGCCAGCCGCCATCTTGGTTGGTTTAATTTGCATATAGTCGCTCTGATTGGCTAGTGAGCGTGGCTTAAGGCGTAGCGAAGGTATGGTCAATTTGCATGTTTGTCTTTTATTAGTGTAGATGTGTTAATTTAATCAGTTTTAATCATGAAATCACCAAACATTTACACTTATTAATATCCAATTTAGACTGCTAGTGGGATTATATAATACCTATTAATTAATTTGGAGAGAAGTAACGATGCTATATTATTCAGACTTTTTAGCCATAAACATATTATTTCAATATGTTTGAGTGTTCATTAATGTTCCTTAATTTTCATATAGATGATATATCTCAAGTTTTTTGTTCTTTTGCTATCTTTCATCTTTTTTTTTAACAGAGAACATATAAAGAATAAAATCACACGTCTTACTATTCAAACAATTGATAACATTTTTCTTACTTGTTTCAAGTCCCTTTAAAAACAAAATGAAACAAAAGAAGCAAAACCTCATAATCTGTGACATGTTTTCCTATTACATTTCCCTAATTTCCCTCATCCTTGCCTATGACAATCACTAACTATGAATTTGATTGATAGCTGTTATAATATTATGGCATAACATTATATATATCACTCCAGTGGTCAGCAAACTCATTAGTCAACAGAGCCAAATATCAACAGTACTTCTTCAAAATAGACTCGCCCAGGCTGAAAACCGACTTCTGCACATGGGCCACGAAGTTTCAATCACACTGTACACGCGCCTGCACGTGGTATTTTGTGGAAGAGCCACACTCAAGGGGCTAAAGAGCTGCATGTGGCTCGCGAGCCACAGTTTGCCAACCACGGCACCAGGCAATCTGCCTAATTTTATTCAGTATTGTGTTTGCATTATTAATACTGATACACATATTTCAATCCTTTCAACAGTTTTAAGCTTGCTGCATGCAATATGCATAGAACTAAAGGCCATCGCTTAAAAAGCAGTATAAATTCCCAAGTACTTATCAGAACAACAACCATTGAGGATGTCCTCTGGTAGCATATATCACAGTCTCCAGAGAGCTTTGAGTGGTTAGCAAAACTCATCCATTGCAATTGGCTTACCGATATTTTGGAAATAGATATTGTCTTTATTTCTTGCTTTGTTTTTTTGGTACCATGTAAACCATTTCATCAATTCTCATTTAACCCTGTATGACTGGGACTCTATTAACCAGGGATAATTTCTCAGTTGACATGTTTCTTTTCTTTTTTTAAAATTCTTTATTGTTGAAATATTACATATGACCCCTTTTCCCCCCATTGTCCTCTCCTAGCCCATCCCTGCCCCCCCAGCCCAGGCCTTCTCCCCTGTTTCTTGCTCCTTAGATGTCTTCTGGCAGGAACATATATATAGCAATGCATGTATTAATGACAGAAAAGAGTAATAGACTTGACTGTATAAATGTCTGCCAAGTTTTAAACATAAAAATTGTATTACTTTTAAATCTAGCAAAGTGTCCAGGACTAATAAGAGATAATACTCAATATTGGAAAGGTTTCAGTGAGATTGCCCTCTGCTGCCCTGTGAGTAAAAATAAAAATTGGTATATCGTTTAACAACCAAGCATGTATTATGAATCTTTAAACCAATTATCTTTGGCCCAAGTATTTTACTTGTAGAAATCTATCCGAAGGTATAACCATAAATATGGGGTAAATTGTAGTCATTTGCAATGTTTGTTATAAAAGTGACAGAATGCAAGTAACCCAAATGTACATTAAAGAACATATAGGACATCTACAAGTTAGAATAGTCTGTAGTCATTCAAGATGATTGGCATGATGGGTTTGTAAATATCAAGAACGATTAAGGGGATTGTTAAGGGCAGGAAAAAAAGGAGACATATGTAATACTCTTTGTAATACTTTAAGCAATAAAACAATTAAAAAAAAAAAAAGAAAGAAAGATTAAGGGAATCTCTGCCTGGGTAGCTCAGTTGGTTACAGCATCGTCCCATATTTTGGGTTTGATCCCCACTCAGGGCACATATTAGAAGTAATCAATGAATGCATAAATAAGTGGAACAACAAATTGATGTTTCTTTCTCTCTTTCTCCCCTCTACCCCCTCAAATCAATAATAATAAAAAAAAATAGAAGTGCTAAGGAGGGAAAAACTTTAAGATATAAAATACCATTCCAGTGATGAAAAATGAAAGACAATCCTGCACCATGTTACAAGGATTATTTCTAAGTGGTAGAACAATAAACATTTCATTCTGCTTTTTATACAGAACATATTTCGTAGGAAAAAATTAATTAAAAAATAAAAGATAAATCACTGGAGATGTTAGAGTTTTCAACAGTGGCAGAGCACGCACACAGTCTGCAGTGCTATTCATTTTTTAAAAATATATATTTTATTGATTTTTTACAGAGAGGAAGGGAGAAGGATAGAGAGTTAGAAACATGGATGAGAGAGAAACATCAATCAGCTGCCTCCTTCCTGCACACCGCCTAATGGGGATGTGCCTGCAACCAAGGTACATGCCCTTGGCCGGAATCGAACTTGGGACCATTCAGTCCGCAGGCTCTATCCACTGAGCCAAACCAGTTAGAGCATTTTAAAAATAGTGAAAACTTATGCTAAATGCATTTCGTATGACCTTGTATTAAGAGCCTCCTGCACCTATGTATGCGTTCACGTATACTACCATGAGCCTCTACATATACAGATCCTATATAATACAGAGGTAATATGTAAATTAACCCTCACACCATCACAAGATGGCTGGGCCCACAGTGGAGGCGGGGTTCCCATAACGAGTCTTAATGAGTGATCAGAAGGGACCTGAGGCTGCATGGCGCTGGATGGGGGGGCGGGGGGGGGGGAGTGTGACCTCAGGCTGCACCCCCCCACCCAGTGGGACTTGACGGGGGACCTCAGGCCATCATGCCACCTGCCATGGCACTGGGCCGGGGGACCTCAGGCTGTGCCCCCCGCCCGGGAGGGCTTAATGGGGGACCTCAGGCCGCGCCTCCAGCCTTGGACCGGGGGACCTCAGGCCATGTTCCCTGCGCCGGCGAACCTCAGGCTGCACCCCCTACCCAGCTGGGCTTGACAGGGGACCTCAAAGCATGCTCCCTGCCTCAGCCCAGGCCGGGGGACCTCAGGATGTGCCCCCCACTCCCCAGCGCCAGGCTGGGGGACCTCAGGCTGCGCCCCCCACTGGTGGGGCTTGACGGGGGACCTCAAAGGGTGCCTCCTGCCCGGCCCAGGCTGGGGGACCTCAGGCCGCACCCCCCACCCTGGTGTTGGGCCAGGGGACCTGAGGCCATGCCCCTCGCCACGGCACTGGGCCAGGGGTCCTGAGGGTGTGTCGGGGATCCTGAGGCTGCATCCCCCGCCTGGTGGGGCTTGACGGGGGCCCTGAGGCTGTACCCCCCCCAACCCAGCGCTGGGCCAGGGGACTTGAAGGTGTGCCCCCCGCCCGGCGGGGCTTGACGGGGGTGGGGCCAGCCGGATCTGGATCTTGCCCAATGGGGGTGGGGCCAGCCAGGTCTGGGTTTTGCATGATTTTGAGGTGCATGCGGGTGGGTGGGGACTTCAC